CGTGTTCGGGGCATTCGTTATAGGACGCGTTCGCGAAACCCGAGGTTTCCGAATGACTACATCATGCCCGAGCGACGACGCACGCGTGCTTTTCGTCCGATCGTTGACAAAATATGTTTGCGACAGCACGCGCGCAAAAGGCTTCCGAACGATCTCGACATGCGCGCGCGAGAGGCCAGTTTGTCAGCATTGTGTGAAAATGGAGAACAACGTGGTTAAGAATTGGCAAGAGCGCTGGCGCAGGCATGTTGTTTATCCTTCGCTGCGAAACCATGTGCGTTGCATGCGTTTTCGGGGCGCCCGAGTTCTCTTGGCATCCTTGCGGCGCCTAAGGCTTTACCCAGATTCCAGCATGAGCGCGCGACGACGCGCGCGTGCGCACTCAGTCTTACTGGTGGCAAGGGGTTGCGGGAGCTGGTGGTTCATGATAAACGACAGCGCGCGCATATTTTTTGGCTGAAGATGAGGGGGGGCGATATTGGATTGGCTGGGATGGTGCGCGCTTATTTCCGGGATGGACGTTGGGGCCGAATCGTCTGTAACCTAAATTCGGAAAAGTGTGCCGTTAACCCCCGGGAGGGGGGGGAGATCTCAATACTCCCCCAGAGAGAAGAGCTTATGCGGCCCAATTCATTTTTTCCCAACCGACCTGTGGTGTTGGGCCTTGTTTGGAAGAGACGGTCCCTGCGTCCCTTCCTTCCTCCCTCCTCCCCCTCCCCTCTTCTGTTCTCTCCCTGCGTTTCACCCACCCAGTACAGCGCTTCGTGGCCCCAAAAGAAGCCCCACCGAAGCCCCCAGTGCCACCGTCCGCATTCGCCCCGGAACACCCAACTTGGCATTTTCACCCACCCAGTACACATTTCGTGGCCCCATAGGGAGCTCAACCGAAACCCCCAATGCCACCGTCCGCACGCGTCCCGGGACACCTAAATTGGCATTTTCATTCACCCAGTACAGCGATTCGTGGCCCATACGGTGCTCCACTGAAGCCCCCAGTGCCACCGTCCGCACGCGTCCCGGAACATTCAGTTTGGCATTCTCACCCGCCCAATACAAAATTCCGTGGCCCCATGGGGAGTTCCACCGAAGAAGCCCCCAGTGCCACCGTCCGCATGCGTCCCGGAACACATCATTTGGCATTTTCGGTCACCGAGTACAGTGTTTCGTGGCCCGACGGGGAGTTCCACCGAAGCCCCCAGTGGGACCGCCCGCATGCGTCCCATACACCCAATTGGGCATTTTCGGCCACCGAGTACAGCGCTTCGTGGCCCCATAGGGAGCTCCACCGAAGCCCCCAGTGGGACCGCCCGCGTGCGCCCCACACGCCCAATTTGGCATTTTCGGCCACCGAATACAGCGCTTCGTGGCCCCATAGGTAGCTCCACCGTCGACCCCAGTGCCACCGCCCGCTTGCCGTTCCCCCCACCCAGTGCAGCGCTTCGCGGCCCCGTAGGGCGCTTCACCGAAGAAAGTATTTACAATTGCGGTGCCCACAACTGCATATGGTTGGGTCCTTCGCCAAGATAATTGTTCAAACGACTTAACAAATTCGATGCTTCTGTAAAAATCCCCCCCGCACGCACAAACACACAAATCAGTGGTTTTCAAAACATTTTTATGCGACGGCGATTCAAACTAGGGTTTGGCGTTGCCTGGTGCATCTCTGCGGCCGCTGTAGGCCGCGCGTGTTCGCGCGCACAGCGGCCAGCTAGTTTTGCGCGACCGCCGCGGCCGCGGTGGCGCTGACCGTTGGGCACGGTTAGCGAATACGTCACTGCGAGTCGGTGACTCTGGCGGGCGCTGTATCATGGCGACGCTGGCATCGGTAAACACAATTCGGACAGTAGCGATGACGGTGACGATAGTGGCGATGACGACGGCAAGGCGAATGACTGTGCCTATGTTGATAACGCCCGCAGAGAACTAGACGATGTCTTCGCGTCGGCGATGGAGGTTTTTGAACGAGTTCGACATGCGCGCGGGGCCGATGCGAGCAAGTGGCCCGCGTGGTCTTATTTGACACGGATCGTGCTCCTCCCCGGCACGCGCGCAAGGGCGTTCGATCAAGCTCGACGTGCGGTGCGGGAGGCCCGTTTGGCGGAGTTTGATGAACATGTTGATACACGCATGGTTTTGAAACAATGGCAAGTCCTCGCGCGCAGTTTTTTTTTATATATAAAGATATCTTGCAGAACCATGTGATGTGATTTGTTTTCGGGACATCCGTGTTCGGAAATCCTCCCGAAACCTATGGTTTTTTTCAATATTCCAACATGCGTGCGCGACAATCCGCGCGTATGCACTTCGTCCAATGTGTTGCAGAGTTTTTTTGCGACAACACGCTTGCAAAACAAGCGTTCTATCGACTTCGACATGCGCGCGCGAGAGGCCCGCTTGGTAGCACAATATGAAAATGTCGACAATTTGGTTTTCAAAAATTCGACATAGCGGGGCGCAAGTTTTCTCTTCCAACGATCCTGTTGCGTTGGGCCTTTGGTTTGAACAGACACCGCCCCGCGTCCCTCCTCTCGCTGCCCCCTCCCTCCTCCTTCTTCCGCAGTTCGCACGCGTCTCCCCCGCCAAGTACAGCGTATCGTGGCCCCAGAGAGGGTTCCACCAAAGGTCCCAGTGGCGCAGTCCGCATGCGGTTCCCCCGCCGAGTGCAGCGCTGTGTGGCCTCATAAGGGAGCCCCACCGAAGGTCCCAGTGGCGCAGTCCGCATGCGCTTCCTGCGCCCAGTGCAGCGTTTCGTTGCCCCAGAGGGAGCTGCACCGAAGGTTCCAATGGCGCAGTCCGCATGCGGTTCTTGCGCCCAGTGTAGCGCTTCTTGGCCCCACAGGGAGCTCAATCGGAGGTCCCAGTGGAGGGACTCGCATTTGGTTCCTGCGCCCAGTGCAGCGTTTCGTCGCCCCAGAGGAAGCTCCACCGAAGGTCCCAGTGGCGCAGTCCACATGCGGTTCCCCGACCCAGTACAGCGCTTTGTGGCCTCATAAGGGAGCTCCACCGAAGGTCCCAGTAGCGCCGTCCGCACGCGGTTCCCCCACCCAGCACAACGCTGCGTGGTCCCATGGGGAGTCCCAACGAAGGTTCCAATGGCGCATTCCGCATGCTGTTCCTGCGCCCGGTATAGCGCTTCTTGGCCCCAGAGGGAGCTCCACCGAAGGTCCCAGTGGCGCAGTCCGCATGCGGTTCCCCGACCCAGTACAGCGCTCCGGGGCCTCATAAGGGAGCTCCACCGAAGGTCCCAGTAGCGCAGTCCGCACGCGGTTCCTGCGCCCAGTGCAGCGCTTCGTCGCCCCAGAGGGAGCTCCACCGATAGTCTCAGTGGCGCAGTCCGCATGCGCTTCTTGTACCCAGTGCAGCGTGTCGTGGCCCCAGAGGAAGTCACCGAAGGTCCCAGTGGCGTAGTCCGCATGCGGTTCTTGCGCCCAGTGCAGCGTTTCGTTGCCCCGGGGGGAGCTCCACCGAAGGTCCCAGTGGCGCAGTCCGCATGCGGTTCCCCCGCCGAGTGCAGCGCTTTGTGGCCTCATAAGGGGGCTCCACCGAAGGGCCCAGTGGCGCAGTCCGCATGCGGTTCCCCCACCCAATACAACGCTTCGTGGTCCCATGGGGAGTCCCTCCGAAGGTCCCAGTGTTGCAGTCCGCATTCGATTCTTGCGCCGAGTATAGCGCATCTTGGTCCCAGAGGGGGCTCAATCGAAGGTCCCAGTGGAGGGACTCGCATGCTCTTCCTGCGCCCAGTGCGGCGTTTCGTTGCCCCAGAGGGAGTTCCACCGAAGGTCCCAGTGGCGCAGTCCTCATGCGATTCCCCCGCCCAGTACAGCGCTCCGTGGCCACAGAGAGAGGTCCACGGATCACGATATCCACACTTGCGGTACTCACAATTCCAAATGTTGATTTCCTCGCCAGGCTAATTCAACATCCTTGTTGCGAAACCATGTGTTTATACAGAATATGGTTCCGTGGGTCTCGATCCTGAAATCTTGACGACGCCCATAGTTTTTGAAGGATTTCGGCATGCGCCTGCGACTACGCGCGCGCGCGCACTTCGTCCTATTTTTAATTTGGGGTTTGGGCGAAGTTAATGGTTACTGCAGGGGATGCGGGGGGAACCGATACCAGCCTGCCTGGTATGGTACGAATTCAGATTTAGGATGGACGAAAGGCCAAAATCGTATTCAAGTTGCAGTACGACAGATGGCCCGTTAACCCCGGGGGGGGACGATCTGACCATTTCCTTTGGAAAGGAGAATTAATGTCGTGTAGTCTACGCTGTGCAATCTGAGCGGGGACGGGGTGGCGACATGGCGACCAGAACGCCAAACAGATCAAACAACCCAGGCGGCGACGGGGCAGCGACGGGGTGGCAACGGCGGGGCGACGGGACGGAGACGGGGCGGCGACGGCGGCAACACACACGCCAGAGCGGCACACTGGCGCAGACGACGGGCTGCGACGGGGCGGCGATGGCGGCGACGAGTCGGCAGCGTGGCGGTGACGGCGGCTACATATTGTCGTCAGAGCGTCAGATTCGTTTAGTTCCTTGGGGAGAAAAACATAACCCCTAAGTGCAAGCACTGGCAACCGGGTCCACGGGCCCAGAGGGCGACCAACTGTGTTCCCAATTCCCCCTCCCCACCGTAACCCATTTTTTCCCCAGGCGTCCGGGACCCATTTGGACCCATTTGGGTGGGTTTGGAGGACCCGAAGGCGCCCCCCGAATCGTCCAAGAGGTCTCCGAGTCGGTCCACGAGCGCTCCAGGACCCCCATGATGGCTTCCAGACGGCCGAAGGGGCCCCCTCGACTCTGTCAGAGGGTTCCAGGCGGGCACCCAGAGGGGGCCTAAGAAACACACATCGTCGCAATGCAATAGGAAACGTATGGTTGTCACAGATCGCGCTTCTGGTCTGAATAGCTTCCACGACAGCCCACGGGGCCCCAAAGATCGCCCCAAGACGGCCTACCAGTGCGCCCCGCAGCCATATTGGCTCAAGCCATGTCAGGTCCGGGTCGCTGGGCTGGAGGCTGGCCCCTCGCCTCCGCGCCGTCCTCTCCGTCTTTCCTCCTTGCTTTACCAGCCTGGAACATATCCCTATCCCTATGCTGGGCACCTCCTCGCCACGATGCCAATCTCAGGGATTCCCTTATCTTTTGAGGGCGAATCCCTGAGATTGTCATCGCCTCTTGGCGTGTCAATCTTAGGGATATATGTTCCAGGCTGGTAATTGCTGTCTTGTTGTCGCCCCTCTCCGCGTGCAGCGCGTGCGGCCATGGCTTCCAGCCGCGCGCCTGGGCTGTGGCGCGCGCAGTGGCCGGCCGCGGCCGCCATCCTGTGCACCGCGGGCACGCGGTTGCTGCGCTATCTCCGGACATACTTACCAGCCTCGAACGTATCCCTATCCCTGAGATTGACACGCCAAAAGGCGATGACAATCTTAGGGATTCGCCCTCAAAAGAGAAGGGAATCCCTGAGATTGGCATCGTGACGAGGAGGTGCCCAGCATAGAGATAGGGATATGTTCCAGGCTGGTAACATACCCTGCGCTGATGGTGCCTCTGGCCGACTCGACGGCCGAGTCCGTGTCCGTCGGAGTGTTTGTGCAAATGGCCGATCTCGGATCGTGGCCAGAGTTGCGGTCGTGTCTGTCGAACGTGGCGAGGGCACATGGCAGAGTCGATGTGTACGTGTCGTCTGTCGAGGGGGTCTTCCGCAACAGTTCGGTGCGAGACGATGTCCAACAAATGATTTCTCGTATGAGCGTATCGATAGATCTGCGCATGTCAACAGTGCCAGACGTTGGAGAAGACATGGGCTCATTTATACATCAGCTCCACATGGCAGAGCGCGAAGGAAAGCGTTATGAAACGATATTGAAGGTGCATTCATTTTCTAATCACGGGGCTGCGTTGCGTGATCTTGGTCTTCAATCTCTTTGTGGATCCAGGTGGCAAGTCGGCGCAATCGCAACTAATTTCATGGAGTGGGCCGACGTGGATATGATTGTTCCAGCAGGTACCATATTTGACGCCGCCACACCCATCAGGCGAATCGCTTCTGTTATTCGCGATTTGTACTTTCGTTCGAAAGGTGTCAACGACACTGTTAAAAACGTGATTGGACAAAACGAAGAACACCTCAAAACACTATTTCAGAAAGCGGCTCCTGATCTTACGGGTGCTGCAGCCGCAAATCATCTCGCAGCTGTTGTAGTTGGACGCATGTTTTGGGTGCGCCATGCTGCGCTGCGGCCGCAGGCTTTAGTTGCTGCGCGTGAAGAAATCCTAGCCGGAATGTCACATTGGATAGGTTTTTCCCTTCCAGCATTTTGGCACGTGGGCGAACAGTATCGCAAATGCCACCAGCGCCCAAAGTCATGGCAATCTATTTCCCACAGTATCATGCATTCGAGGAGAACGACCGCTTTTGGGGTCGTGGTTTCACAGAGTGGACATTGCTGAAGCCTTTCGAAGGGAAAGGGATCCGCAAGCCGTTGAGTGTGGAGCAAGGCGGCCTTGGGTTTTATGATCTGACGAGCAGGGATGTTCGCAAACAGCAAGCGCAGCTTGCGATGGACCATGGTGTACACGGTTTTTTGTTTTACCACTATTGGTTTACAGGCAAAGGTGTGAAAAAACCAATGGTGATGGAGAAGATACCGTCGTTGATGCTTGAAGACGGCGAGCCCAACATGCGGTACTTTTTCAATTGGGCAAATGAACCGTGGACAAGGATGTGGAATGGTCGTGCAAGTGCAGAAAATCCACCACTTCTTGCTCAAGAATACGGGGATCAAAGTGAATGGCAAAATCATTTTGAGTTTCTGTTGCCCTACTTCAAGCACGAACAGTACATGAAAATGAATGGCAAACCAATTTTCGCAATCTACAGACCTGGTCTTATCGCTGCCGAAGCAAAGCTTGGCCCCATGCTGTCACTATGGAGGCAACTGGCCCAACAACATGGATTTCCTGGCATGTATTTTGTAAACACTCACAGCGGGTTCTGGCAAGAGATGGTTGGGCAGCCTCAATTGTTCGATGCTGCATACCATTTTCTCTCAACATGTTGTTCCTCGGGAAGAGAATACAATATCGCAACGGCTGCAGACCAAGGCCTGAACCACGAGCCGGTTCAATTCTGGGGAGCTTTCACAGGCTTCAATAACCGGGTAAGAGGCACTGTTCAGCTTATGGAGAAGCCAGTAACACCACATCAATTCTACGCAGCATTGGTACATTCATTCAGCGCTATGGCTTCGGCGCCCCAGAGGCGGCTAGACCAGTTCTCCAATAACATATTCGTTGTGGCCGCCTGGAACGAGTGGAATGAGCAAAACGTGCTGGAGCCGGACACTGAGTACGGTTTTGGATTTCTGAAGTCTTTGCAGAAGGCTTTGACACATTTTCATTCATCGAGATTTGTTAGCACTGGCGACCTGTGAGCGATTCTTCGTCAAACGAGCACGTGAGGCGTCTTTCGGCGTACGGCTACGCGTTCAGCGAGTTGCGTCTTCGTGCCATTCGGCATGCGGCTTTGAGTGAGTGGGTGAGTGCGCGCTGAAAAGAGCCCCAACACGCCCAAGAGAGACCCAAGAGGACCCAAGACGGCCCGAAAGGGTCGTCCTGTGGGGCTCACGGAACCCCCCAAGACGGCCCAAGATGCCCTCAGGTCTTTCGCCAGGCCAATTGGGACAATTCAGAGCGTCGAGCTGTATGAGCAGCTCCATGTGCGACAGCGTCGGCCTTTCCCCTCCAAAGGGAGCGAGTCGCTGTTGCGCGCCATTGCTGGCCTATTTACCCAGCCTTATTTTACCCAGGCCTATTGTACCCCGGCCTATTTGGACCTTATAGTCGCGAGGTTCTGCCATGTTCGCCCTGGCAGTCAGGCTCTAGTAATTGCCACGCTGTCGTCGAGCGCACACAAAGATGTCTGACAGAGATCCCTGGCGATCCACGCCATAAGTCCCCACTCTCGAGAGAGAGAGCTCGCTAAACCACTCACGCCCAAAGGGCTGGTGGGATTGGTCGACGCCTCAGTATGTGTGCCGTTCGCGTCAAGGCGCGTCAGGCTGCAATGCTGGCTTGCAGGTGACGTCCGCCTGCGGTCAGCCCAGTGAATTTGATGCTTTGCTTTACTTTTAAGAGCGGGTCGCTCCACCTTGCGCGCACATCCTTGGGCAATCGACCAGATAAGTGCGCGCGAGGTTGTTGTGTCTCTGGCGCGAGACCTCGCCAGTGAAGCTTCTTTCTCTTCACCGCGGAGGCGATCGTTTATTTCATTTCGCCTTGCGTGCACACCCGTGGGCAATCGACCAGATAAATGCGCGCCTGGTTGATGCGTCTCCGTCGGAAAATATAAATGTCATGTCCTGTTGTTCACTCTTTTCGCTCCAGGGGCAGCGACGAGTTTCGCTACGCTTTGTGTGCGCACCCTTGGATTACTTACCAGGCGAGTATGCCCCAAGCGGTGCGTCTCTACCAGTATGTATGTATGTATGTATGCATGCATGCATGCATGCATGCATGCATGTATGTGTGTATGTGTGTGTATGTATGCATGCATGTATGTATGTATGTATGTGTGTGTATGTATGTATGTATGTATGTATGTATGTATGTATACCTGTCAGTCTGTATGTCTGTCTGTCTGTATGTATGTATGTATGTTTGTATGTATGCATGCATGCATGCATGCATGCATGTATGTATGCATGTATGTATGCATGCATGCATGTATGTATGTATGTATGTATGTACGTACGTACGTATGTATGTATGTATGTACATCTGTACGCATGTACGTATGTACGTATGTACGTATGTACGTATGTACGTATGTACGTATGTACGTATGTACGCATGTACGTATGCACGTATGCACGTATGCACGTATGTACGTATGTATGTATGTATGCATACATGCATGCATGCATGCATGTATGTATGTATGTGTGTGTATGAATGTATGCATGTATGTATGCATGCACGTATGTATGTATGTATGTATGTATGTATGTATGTATGTATGTATGTATGTATGTATGTTTGTATGTATGTATGTATGTATGTATGTATGTATGTATGTGTGTATTTATATATATATACATGTGTATGTATATGTATATACATATATATACACATATATATATATATATATATGACACCGGAGTTCCAGGTCCCCGGGGGGGCCCGGCCTCATTTCTCTACGGCGGGACCGGGGCTCCAGGACCCCCCGTTCCCGGTCCAAAACGGCCTCGATGGCCTCCAAGACGGCCAAGATGACCCATGATGGCTGCATAAATGCCTGCAAGAACGCTAAGATGGCCTCAAGAGAGCCCTCGAAGGCTCCAAGAGGTACCCTACACGGTCCAATATGGGGTCAAGATAAGTCCAAATAGCCTCCGAGGCGGCCAAGACGCCTCCAAGACATCCGTTGGGAAATCCAGAAAAAGCTGAATGAATCGATTTCCCGTTGGTTTTTGAATATTTTTGCATTTGTTTTTTTTCGGCCTGCTGACGGTCCAGATGGCGCACGAGGCCCCCAAGATCGCTCCCAGAGCACCCAAGAGGCCTCCACGATAGCCCCGTGACGGCCCAAGAAGCACCAAATATGGCCCCAGGAGGGCCCCAAGACGGCTCAAGAGGACTCAACACGCCTGAGATTGCCTCCAAGACAGCCACGAAGCGCTCCAAGCGGGCTCGAAGACGGCGAAGACAGGCCTCAAAAACGACTTCCTGCAGCGTCCGACGGGCCAGGAACGCTGTGAGACAGCCAAAGAGGCCGGGGCAATGCGGAAAGATGGCTGCCGCGGGGCACGCGTGCACGGGTGCGCTGAACTCTTTGTGGGGCACGATCCGCGTGAAGTGTCGCGCGAACACGCCCGCTGAGGCCGCATGTGGACCTCCTCCGGGCACGCCCCGTGCCAAACAAATTCCGAAATGGGCGCGGGGGCGCCATGCAAAGATGCCCGTTCTGGAGCATGATTCGCGTGACAGGTGTGCCGACATGGGCGGGGGGGGGGCGTTGTTCGAACCTTCGGGGCCTTTAATTCGGTGGTGCTCCTTGTGGGCATGATCCACGTGACGGGGTGTACCGCCATGGCTGGGGGGGGGCGCAGTACGAACCTTGCTTCGGGGGCCGTGGGTGGAGATCCCTGTGGGCCACGATCACGATCCGTGTGCCAGGTGTGCCGAAGTAGGCGGGACGGCGGGATGCGAATTCTTTACGCTTCGCGTATCCCCACCAGCCCATCTCACAGCAGCAACTCTCGCGAAGCATGCCGACAGTCGTGTTTTTCAGGCGTGTGTCCGCTGGGCCCCGCATATCTCCCCTGTTCCTCCTTCCTCCCGCCTCCTTGTACATCCTCCTTGTGGGGGGAGCGGGAGAAGGACGAGGCGAAGGAGGAGGGAGAGAAAGCGCTCCTCGTGGTTGGAGTCGTTCGGGCTCCTCGTGGTGTGAGTCGTTCGGGGCCCGCGTCGCTGTGTGAGTCGTTCGGCCTCTTCGTGGTGTGAGTCGTTCGGGCTCTTCGTCCTGGTGTGAGTCGTTCGGGCTTCTCGTGGTGTGAGTTGTTCGGGCCCGTCGTCCTGGTGTGAGTCGTTCGGGCCCCTCCTCCTGGTGTGACTCGTTCGGGCTCCTCGTGGTGTGAGTCGTTCGGGGCCCGCGTCGCTGTGTGAGTCCTTCGGGCTCCTCGTGGTGTGAGTCGTTCGGGCGCCTCGTCCTGGTGTGAGTCGTTCGGGCCCCTCCTTGTGGTGTGAGTCGTTCGGCCTCTTCGTGGTGTGAGTCGTTCGGGCTCTTCGTGGTGTGAGTCGTTCGGGCCCCTCGTCCTGGTGTGAGTCCTTCGGGCTCCTCGTGGGGCCTCTTGGGAGCCTCTTGGGGGCCTCTTGGGGCCTCTTGGGCGCCTCTTGGAAGCCTCTTGGGGGCCTCTTGGTAGCCTCTTGGGGGCTCTGGGGGCCTCGTGGGAGCCTCATGGGGGCCTGTTGGGAGCCTCTGGGGGCCCCTTGGGGGCCTCTTGGGAGCCTCTTGGAGGCCTCTTGGGAGCCTCCTGGGGGCATCTTGGGGCCTCTTGGGGGCTTCTTGCGACCTCCTCAGAAGCGCAAATGAGCGCTACCCCCTGGGAAGGACAACATGAGCCCAAAACCTTCGTAAAATCAATGATTTTGAGAACAAGGAAGAGGAGCGCTGCCCCCTCAGAAGGCCAAAATGGGGCCAAAACCGTAGTAAAATCAATGATTTTGGCTTCACAGAAGAGGAGAGGGTTTTTTCTCTATCCCCCCGACGGGGCCAGAATCCTCGTGAGGGTCGTCGTTTTTTGGCCCTCCCAGGAGTCGAAAAAGACCCCCCTGACCACCCGCGGGGCTCCCTCTCCAGGCCCAGGGGGAGGGGGTAGGGGGAGGGGTAAACCCCTCCCCGAAGGGGAAGAAGGGGGGTTGAGGACAGAGAGAGCTCCCTAAACCACTCACGCCCAAAGGGCTGGTGGGACTGGCATGCCTCCAGTTGGCCGCTGGCCCACAACCGAGGCATGGAGTAGGGAGAAGGCAGGATGGGCAGGACGAGGAGGAGGAGGAGGAGGAGGAGGAGGAGAGGAGAGGAGGAGGAGGAGGAGGAGGAGGAGGAGGGAGGAGGACGAACAGGGGTAAGAGGAGGAAGGGGAGGAGGGCGGAGTAAGGAGCGAGAAAGAGGACAACGCGATTCATCGAACCACCTCCTTTTTTCATTCCCGCCTCCAGTGGCTCCGTGGCTCACACCCACTGGTGAACAACATCGGTCAGACATTGGCAGGCCGTGTCGTTCCTCTGTGGGTCGCGCCAGGGGTCCCCCGTGGACGGCTTGGGCAGAGATCGGCAGCTGTCGGCACGGGGTGGCCTCAGGAGCCCCCCCCCCGCCCCGCGTTCCTTTATTTCCCGCCGCAGGGCCGCCGCGTTGCGGCCGCCAGGGCGCCCCCCCTCGTCGCGAAGAGCAGTCTCGCGCGGGGGGGCGGCCTGGTGGAGCGCCCTCTGATCACTTCCCTGATTTCTGAGGCCTCCTCCTCCTCCTCCTCCTCCTCCTCCTCCTCCTCCTCTTCCTCCTCCTCCTCCTCCAAGGGGACGGCGCGCTTGCGTTTACTTCACGTAGCCTTCTCAAGGGCAGGTGCGTCCTGGGACCAGAGCGCGCGCGCGGCTCCAGCATGGACACGCTCGGGGCCAGGGGGGGGGACGTGTCTCCATCTCCGCCGCCTGCCGTGGCCCCCCAAGATCGATCCCACGGGGGGCGGTCACGGATACACCCACGCCTCGCATGGAGGGGCGGGGGCGATGCTTGCCATGGAGGGGGGGGGGCCTCAGGAGGGGAAGGGCAATCCTTCTCACCATTTCCGGGCTGTCCCTGGCAACTTGGGGGGCCCCATGGGGCCTTAACGATGCCCTTATCCGCTGCCCCCTTCGGTTCCTGGGAGATCCACTCCCA